GCATCTGTTTCCTTCATGGGGGCTTTTCTGGGACCTGAGGTCAAAATTTCCTATTGCACATCCTGGGATTATGTAATTTATTTTGTCCAGGAGGCCCAATGTAGAAAGAGCGTAAAATTTGAAGTCAGAGACAAGGTCCAGGTGGCATTTCTGCCATCTTATTTTATTGACTATGTGATTTTGGTCAAGTACTTAAATTCCCAGAGCCAAAGTTTCTTCAACTAAAAAATGGGAATAATACAGGCCTGGGGGAGACGTGGGAAGGATTAGAAATAATGCAACAGAATACTTAACATGTGCTTGACACATTGTGGATGCTTAGTAACTGGTAGCTATTATAATTGTCACCATTGCAAGGCCTTCTGGCTGGTCTTGGGGGCTGAAAAAGCTGCTTAGAACAGTGGTTAAGAATATGGATTCTGGAATAAACCTCCTGGGTTCAAATTTTTCTTCTACCACTTCTCTTCTGTGTGAGTATGCACAACTTAATGGCTTTCTGTGTCTCAGTTTCCTCTTTCTGTAAAAAAGGTACAGTAATAGTTCCTACCTCTTGGGGGTAAATGATTATAAAGAGACACATGAGAACTGTCAAGAGGTTGAGTTGAAATGATCTCGTATCGATCATCTAGTGTCATTGTTTTTTTCAGTGATATGAACGTCCTTGAAATTTACAGTAATTTTCTTCTTTCTGCTCCAATTGAAAGTTCCTCACTTTTTGTATTTAATGCCAACATAAAAATATTGTTTTTACTCACAATACAGATAAATTATCATAAAAATTACTGTTGCCACTTAAGAAATTGAATTAACTAAATCAAAAAGAACATTTTCTTGTGTGTGAGGAGAATATGCAAGTATTTTTTGTAGAATTACTATACATAAAATTAGGTATAGTAAATAAAAATCTCATGTTATAGGTGAAAATGCAAAAAACATAACCAGCTCTCAGTTTAAAAAAACCCAAAAAATCCAAGTGTGATTTTATTGGAATGATTTGGCTCCCCTGCTTTAATCTTGAACTTGGCTGGGTTGCATGCAAGTTAATTTTTTCCCCGCTCTGAGATGACAGCAGTAAGAGGGGGCCACGCGTGTGAGTCCACCGGGAGGAAAACTGCGAATTTAACGTTGGTCTAGAAATCCAGTTTGACTTATCCCTGCGGGCAGTGCGTGGTGCTGACCAGGTCTGCGTCATTATTCTGAAGTCTGTACTGATGTCCTGTGACTAATACGCCCCAGCTGTCTGGGTCAGTACTTCGGAGTGCTATATATTTGCAGTAGTGATGCTGCAAATAGGAAAAGCTTTCTCTTTTGCTGGTTGAAAGCTTTGCTGGTAATTAGCAAAACAGGCATGGCTCTTATTTGGAGAGAGGCAAGAAAGGTGCCTTAAGAGTGAGTTGTACACAACCACTTTGAAAAACAGTTGGACATTCCTTAGGAGAGTTGAACTTTGCAATCGCAGGTGCAGTTCCCCTCTCCTGGGATGTGCCGTGGAGAAACTTGCTGGGCCCTGTGGGCGAGGAGCACTAGACTGTAAACGGCAGCATTATTCATACAGCAAAATACTGAAAACTCCCTAGATCCTCAACAGTAGAATAGAGCAGTCAATTGTGGATCAGTATTCATACAATGAGAACTATATAGTGGGGAAAATCTACTAGAGCCATGAGTCAACACGGATGAATCTAAAAGTCTTAAGCAGCAAGTCTTCAAAGAATACATACAGTCTGTTTCCTTTATATTAGGCTTACACCCAGGCAAAATGCAGCAATGTATTGAGAATACATATGTGGTAAAACCATAAAGAAGAGCAAAAGAATAAGAACTCAGAATTCAGGCTGGCGTTTATCTGTGCAGGGAGGTGGGTTAAGGCGAGGGGGAATGGAGGATGAGGGGAAGGGGCACATAGGTCTTGCAAACAAACAAATCAGCAAACAAACCAAACCCAAACCCCAGCACCATCAACTGGCTATCAGGTACATGGCATTTATTTTATTACTCTTTAATCTGACATGTTGTTATATTAGTTATCACTGTATAATGTTACCCCAAAACCTAGCAGCTGAAAACACTGGTAACCATCGATGGTCTCACTGTTTCTGTGGTGGTTAGGAAATTCAGGAGCAGCTTAGCTCGGTGGCTCTAACTTGGGGTCTTGCATGGCATTGTGCTCAAGATAGCAGCTGAAGCGGCTGTGATTGGAAGGCTCGACTGGGCTGGAGGATCTGCTGCTCGTGAGAGGGCTGGCTCCCTTGGCTGTTGCAGAAGGTCCCAGTTCCTCGGCATGCGGGCTTGCCTTTAGAGCGCCTGAGTGTCCTCATCACGTGACAGCCAGCTTTCCTCCCAAGAGAGTGAGGGAGAAGCTGCTCTTTCTCCTAGTCCTTGGAGTCATGCCCCATCATTTCCCTAACATCTGTTGATTATTCACGCCAGCCCTCTTCATTGTGGGAGAGGAACATGAATATTGGAGGCAGCATCAGTGGTGCCATCTTGGAGGCTGGCTACGATGGTTATGCACTTTTTAATGTAACATTTTACAATAAAATTTTTAAACTTTTATCCTCACTTGAGGGCATTTTTTTTCATTGCTCTTAGAGGAGGAAAGGAGAGGGAGAAACAGGGATGAGCAAGAGAAACATCGATTGGCTGTCTTCTGGATGTGCCCAGATAGGGGGACTAACCTGCAACCTAGGTATGTGCCCTGAGTAGGAATCAAATCTGCAACCTTTGGGTTATGGATTGATGCTCCAGCCAACTGAGCCACACTGGCCAGGGCATAATAAAAAGCTTTTAGAGGCAAACTAAATTGGCGACCTTATTATTATTATTATTTTTTTAGTAATGATGCAACCATCCACATAAATGAAAATTACGGTAAGTGCTGAATGTGTTACTAGTCAGGATGGGGTTGAAGAACAGTCGTCGATGTAAACTGGGTAACCGAGCGGCACGAGCCTGCCCGATAGGAGTGTGCACGCGGCGGCGAGGCTGGTGGGAAGGGCAGTGAAGGAAGGCACTTGAGTCACACTCACATGAGGAGGTGTGGTGTAGAGAAGGGATTATGTGTGTCTAACCTTCAGTTCATCTGACCTAGATCTGGCAGAAATCCGGGATTCCTGATTTTGAAGAGAATTCTCCAGACCAAGAGCTCTAGGTAGCTTCTTGGGCTCAGCATGTTATAAAATTCCTACCAACTTCACATGTTCTCCAAAGACCATCTTTAATAAGAAAGGAGAGTTCACCCCCTTATTTCCTCCCCCTCACTTCTTCCTCCCACAGGTAGGGGTACAGCTGGGAATGAACTAGGCAAGTAAGGACTGCAGTTTTAGCTTAAAAATTCATGCAATGATGATATTCTGCTCCATAATGCGTATTTGTTTTAATATTAACAACTTTTAAATTACTGATTCATTTCCTTATCCTCACTAAAACTTTGAGTAAAATTGATGTTTCCAAAGATACATCATGTTTCCCCCTTGGTTTTGTGTAGCTCCTGGCATGATTTCTTGGTGAGTGCTCCCATGGTCTCAGTGCTCGGTTTGTGAGTCACATCCTATCTCCTCTGTGGGTTGCATTGCATTGTCCTTGTAAACAGGTGTTCCAGTGCCCAGGTGAGGAGGCAGCTTGGAGAGGTTCTCTGGATTTTTGCTCAAGCTAACGATGGAGGAGACAGGACTGGAAGCCAGGCAGAGGGGCTCCTTGACTCTCTTTCCTAAGGCTTTTGTTCGCCGGCATCTTCACAAGTTCAGGTTGGACACTGATATCTCTAAGCCTCTGTGCTTGCAGAATTTTCGTGACCAACAGGTGGAAGGCCACTTTAGGCCATTATATAGGGACGCTGTATTCTCCCGTGCTGTAGTTGGGTTTTTTTTTTTTTTTTTGATATTGCTTGCTTCTTTATTGATAGAGCAGTGTCTATGCCATTATATTATATTGTATTTTGCATTTCACAAAAATAAATGGGAAATCCTCAACAGCAAGTTATTGCATTTTGTTGTGGCAAATATAAAAATCACCAAGGGTGTCATGTGATGCTGGTTTTACACAGTCTGCTTTCTTGAGAAAGAGGAGGCAAAAGTGAAACATGTATATGTGTATCTATATGTATATGTATATATGTGTGTGTATATGTGCATATACATATATACATGTACACACATAAACTATAGCACCCTCCATCTCCCAGTGGCATGTGAATGTGCTGTTTGGCCACTTTGCTTTGAGGTTGGGTTTTAGGAGAGTATCATGTTGTGGGGTGGGGCCGTGAAGAGAGGTGGGAATAACCTATATGGTGAGAAAAGCCCTGAGCTTAGGGTCAGGAGGCATAAGTTGAAGTTTCATCTCAGGTGTTTTCTGGCTGAATGCTCCATCATCTCTGACGCTTAGCTGCCTCCTCTGGAAAATGGAATCAGTAAACTCTGCTTACTTCACAGGGCGGCGAGGGAGGATCCATTGTAACAGATAAGGCCAAAATGTGAGGTGTGGTGGAGGGAGCAGCAGCAAATATGACTTGCACGCCATGGTTCCACTGTGCCCCATAACATGTACTGTAGTTGAGCACGATAGTAGGTAGGGTCCACATACCTTTTCCTGAAAGGACTTCAGGGGATCAGCAGTTCTGGTGTGGTTCTGTGTGTGACTGTGGATACCTTCTAGGTGTGGTCTCAGAAATCCAAAGTCGAAGTGAAGCTCCAGGTTTTGTTTGAATGGAAGTTTGGTCTAGTCACTGCCTGAAATTGATACGAATTAAAAGAAACTTACCGAGGAATTCCTTTGTTCCAGAAGTTCCCAGGGTAGGTGAAGTTAGCTGTCGTTCCCCACATTCCGTATGTGATGGGATCATTCTGTTCTCTTTTCACTTTTTTCCTTCCTTAAAAAACCAAATAGTTACAGCAGTATTTTAATCTAGAGACTTGTCATATGTTGAGAACATTTTCAAGTGAAGTAACATTAACTTGATACAAATCTATGGTGATAACATGTTGTTTTGCTTCTTCTTGCAGGGTGAGGGCCGCACGAACAATCTCTGAATGTACCTTTGGGCATATTTCACCACTCATTTTTGATTAGGAAAAAGAAGACAGCCATCTACTTGAAAGGTGAGTAAACATTTCTATGCAACTTTTTATTATAAAAATTTTCAAGCCCTGGTTGGTGTGACTTAGTGGATGGAATGCCAGCCTGCAAACCAGAAATTTTCAGATATACTAAAGAGTTAAAGGAATGTGCAGGAATTCCTGTATATCCACTGCCTACATGTAACAGTTGGCATTTTGCCACATTGTGTGTGTGTGTGTGTGTGTGTGTGTGTGTGTAGATTTGTATATTTTTCTCCTGAAACATGCAAGTTATAGACATCATGACATTTTATCCTAAATTCTTGGGAACTCAGCTCCTAAAAAGAAGGATACTCTTCTCTGAGAGGCATTTTGGAACATCCATAAGCTATGGAACATATAATAATTTAATTAAACATAGTTATAATTTCCTATTAAAAGGTATCATTTTGAAATTATGCTCCCTTATTAGCTGATATAAATAAAGTCAGATTTAACAAAATATTTAAACAGCGGTTTATTTAATGGACAGAGAGGCGGTATGAATTTGTTATGAGAAACATCTGAGTATAAAGGATTGGAGTCTGCAGTCTCCATGGGCCCTGTATAGGAGAGGGCAGTACGCTTTCTTCAGCCCTTATACTCAGCCCGTCTGCCCGCTGTGGCCGGTGTTAGTTAGGTCAGTGGGTCTGATTACCCTTCCTGCTTCTTCTTGATCGGCATTCAGAAGTAGACCAGTTGTTGTGATCTAATGTGATCAAAGGTCTTAATTGATATTTTAACCTGAAATTATTAGGAGAATGTGTAAAGAATATGGGTGGTTATGTCAAATTGAAGTTACTATATTAAAATCAACATTAGAGTGACTCAAAATGAGTCTCAGCCCATAATTTGACTACCTGAATTGAAACTTTACGTGAAATCTTAAAGATGTGTTCAGCTGTGATTGTATTATAATTGTACATTCTTATGCATTATGGCCTATTACACAATCAGTTACTAGAACCCTGTGGTTCTTGCAGAGTGGCTATCAACTGTTCTGCATTCTAATCTCAGTTATATTTTATTTATGGTATCTTCCTCAAGTGGTCCCTGAGTAATCGAAGCATTTCTTCATAGATGTTTATAAACTAGACTTGCCCATTTAGAGCATTTTTAAAAGAAGTCCATTTCAAGGAGCCACTTAGGGCAGCAGAGGCTTCTTATGTTCTCGTTTCTCATGTGGAGCAAAGAGTTAGCGACAGCAGTAGAGTTTCTTCCAAAGACACTGGCATTCTGGAGGAACTGTGACTGGAATTATAGGCATCTCAGAGCTGTCTAGTTTGCTTGCTTGCTCTTTGGCCTCGATCTTGTTATACTTTGAAAAGATGAGGAGTTGAGTGGGGCTCCATATGAGGCAGGAGCCTTGAAGGACAGTCAAAGGCAAGGTGTGTGGGGCCCTGTCTGGGGTCTTCAATGGTCTCTCTGGCCCTGAACCACTAAGGTATGGGGTAATGATATATGTATTTTTTACTTTCTGTTGAAATAGAACATACATACAAAAATGTACATATTGTAAATGTACAGCTTAGTATAATTGTACAAACTGCATTCATTCAGGTAACCGCACCCAGATCAAGAAACAAAACCTCACCACCACAGCCTCATGCCTCCTCCTAGACACCAGACGCTTCCCCACTCCATGGGTAGCTACTCTCTTGACTTCTGATAGCATACATTCATTTTTCTGTTTCTCTCTCTGTAATACATAATGCAGATTGCACTTTTTGTGTCTGGAGTTTCTCATTTATCAATGTATTAGAGAGATTCCGCCATATCGTTGCATGTAGTTATAGATTGCTCATTTTTATTGCTATTGAGCGTTGCATCATGTGGGAATACAGCAGTCTGTCCATTCTGTTAGATGCAGGTAATTTTTTGTGTTCACCCACCCAGAGCATCCTCTGGCAGAAATGAAGATTAAACAAGGTTTTATCCTCATTACGGTTACAGTGGAGGTGGTCCCAGGTTGTCCTACCTCTGCCCAGCCTCTGCTGTGATCTGAAGGAGGAATCCAGGCTGCAGAGAGAAGACTGAGACACAGTTGGGAGGTTTGTGTGAGTGTGTGTGTGTCGTTTCTCAGTCCAGTACTGACTCCAGTTGCTTTTCCTGTAACTGACCATGTCCCTGCTGGCCCATGTTTTCTCCATCCTCTTTTCTGCCATTATCGCTATTATATAGCCCCTTCAAGGAGACCGTGCAGAATACATCAAATAGGCAACCAATGAATAGTTAAAGTTCATTAGGTGTTGATATTAGGTGTTAGATGAAGGGCAAAAAATTTGAAGTCATGGGCTTGCTTTCAAGGAGCCTGTGTTGTGGTTATACATTCACAAGGATATGGGCCACATCCCTGGAAACCACTTGTACTGTAGAATTTAGGAAGTAAGTTTGGAGGCTTGCAGGGGCCAGGTGTCTAATGCGATGGAAATTAGCTGAAGGAGTGATGGGCACCCTGGAGAATGAGTATATATGCTTCGCCCAATTTTTTTTTAATTGTTGTTTAAGTACATTTGTCTCCATTTTCCCGCCACCGCTTTCCCCCGCCCCACACAACCCCCCGCCCCTCCTTTTCCCCTTTGGCTTTGTCCATGGGTCCTTTACACATGTTCCTTGATGACCCTTCCCCTTCTTTCCGCCATTATTTTCCTCCCCGCTCCCCTCTGGTTACTGTTAGTTTGTTCTTTATTTCAATGGTACTGGTTGTATTTTGTTTGCTTGTTTGTTTTTTTTGATTAAGTTCCACTTATAAGTGAAATCACATGGTATTTGTCTTTCATTTGTCTAGTTTTTGTGTCAACAAAACATGTCTGGCTGAATTTACCAAGTTTACCAATTTCCACTGTTTTGGGATTAGAGTGTTAATTGTAAGAAAGTGGTTTCCTTGGGATTTGAATGTTTTTATGGATTATGGATGATTTTGTAAATAAAGTCTTATTCAAACACAATCATGCTCATTTGTTTGTGTATTATCTATGCCCACTTTTGTGCTATAACAGCTGAGTTGTTTAATTGTGAAAGAGACCACGGTTGAGTACTGTGTGACCACATGACTCACAACACCTAAAATGTTTATTATCTGTCCCTTTACAAAAGAGCCTCCCAACTCCTGCTTTACTTCATAAAAGCAAGGGCATAGTAATAGTAACCCCTGTCATTATAAAATAGTCTGAGCCTATTAATTTTAGTGTTAATACCTTTATTTATTCAACAAATATTTACAGAGTGCCTAGTGCATATCAGGCATAAAATAGTGATAGACAGATATGATTCTTGCCCTTGAGGAATTACAAGAGGCTTCTATGAACTTCAAGTTCCTTTCTGGGATTGTGCTTTCTGTGAATCAAAAGAAAAGTGTAATATGGAAATAGAATTACCAAACCCTCAATTTAAAACTAATATCTTGACTGTATTAATTTTAGAAATATGATTAATACTTATTCTACATAAGCTAATGGATACTTCAGTTATAAGGCGTAGGTAGTAGGGCATACATAGAAATGACTGTGTTTAAAGTTCCTAATGGTTTACATGCGATACCACCAGACTGTTTGGGAGCTAGCATGTCTGGGCGGGGTTGTGAGCTTTGAGGTGCTTACCAGAGCAAGTGAGCAGACTCCCAATCGTAGGCTTCTTTCTCTCTCTCTCTCTCTCTCTCTCTCTATCTTCCTTCCTTCCTTCCTTCCTTCCTTCCTTCCTTCCTTCCTTCCTTCCTTCCTTCCTTCCTTCCTTCCCTTTCTTTCTTTCTTTCTTTCTTTCTTTCTTTCTTTCTTTCTTTCTTTCTTTCTTTCTTTCTTTCTTTCTTCCTTTTTTTCTTTCTTTCTTCAAATTATAAGAGAAAGTTTATTTAGACAGTTACAGAGGTAGTACAGGTGAGCCAGCTGGGCTGCATAGGCCTAGGAAACAAGTTACAGAAGCAAAAGAAGGGCCTTTGGAGCTTAGGAGAGGGGAAGGCAGAGGTAACCTGCCTGGGGGTTGGGGAAGAAGAAGAGGAAGGGAAAGACTTTTGCAAGCTCCTGAGAGGAAATGCATGCCTTAAGCTACTTTAATAATAAATCATAAACCTCAACAGAAAGAACAGCATACAAAGTAATAAAATATTGAATGTAGTATAACAAATGAGTCTTTGTTGGTATGCTTATTTCTTTGCTTCCTTGAGGTCATAAAAATTTGTTTCTTCTTTTTTTAAATATGTTCACTGATTTTTTTTGAGAGGAAGGAGTCTGGGTGGAGGGGAGGGAGAGAGAGAAGACAGACACATCATTGAGTTGCCTCCTGTATGTGCCCTGACTGGGGATTGAAACCGCATCCTAGGTATGTGCCCTGACCAGGGATTGAACCTGCAACTTTTTGGTCTACAGGACGATGCTTCAGCCCACTGAGCCACATGGTCAGGGCTGTTTGTTCCTAGAAAAGCCTATAGAAGGCATTATAATGAACATAGAGCTAGTTTAAAATGTTATTTTAATATATGCTCATATATATTTTATGGGTGATCACTCAGACTGAGTACCTTGCCCCTTCACCACCCCCAGGTTGTCTTTGGACAGATAAAAAGAACATGCAGTTGACCCAGCTCAGTCACCACCATAAGCCAAAATGGCTGTATTGCCTTCTTCTAGCCCAAGAGTATTTTAGGAAGTGAGACTGGAAGTTTGCTTAGGTGTTGTAGTTAAAGTTATTGAGCTGTGAGTAATAATTTGAAGACATGAAAATGCATGAAGCGTTTACACGTTGCTTTAGGAGCCATCTGATATCAACTGGAATTCTGCTTGCCACCTTTTGAGGCAGGCTCTGGGTGACCGAATAATGGTAAGGATTGGTCTGAAGGAACTACAGAGAAGTAATGTCATCCAATGCAGTGAATGGTTTAGAGACTGTGGTTAAAACTGCATAAAAGTTTGCAAAAATTAATAAAAAAGTTAAGGTTTAGTTCCTTTTTATGAGGAAGAAATGATACTGCTTGTGTTTAAAATGTTTTTAGAAATTCAATTTTGTTCTTCATGTTAATAATTTTTTTATAGTGGTTTGGATTTAGGATTAAATGAAAAAAATGAGAACTGGGAAAAGCAAGAGAAAATAAATACCGTACTTGTTTTCTTTACAAAGCTGGAAACAGCAGACCTAACTGCTTTGGTTAAAAATAAAGTTTTTGAAACAAATTTTGAAAATAAGTCAGATCACTTCACCTGTGGCATTAAGAAAATTGGATTTTCTTTTCTACGTAATACGGAGTTCTTGTGCTGAACCCCAGCATTCGGAGCGTTTTATTTCAGAGAGGGGTGTGCACCGAAGTACAGAAGAGGCAGACAAGTGTAGCTTGATAGAATAAAGCATATTTAGAAAGATTATTATATTAGAGTGATTCTTTTGGTTGCAAGTGACAGAAAACTCAATTTCAAACGACGCTAAGTGAAATAAATCTATCAGTGTAGGTAACTGAAAGTCTAGAGATAGATCTCACTTCAGGAAGGGCTTGACTGGGGAATCCAGTGATGTCACGAACATTCACGTTGGCTGCATGTTCTTCGGCTACAAATCGAGACTTCCAGCAGCTTTGGGCTCATATCATTTTAGTGGTTGCCCAAGATACTGTACAAACGACCTTCTTGGCCTTGTGCCTGGCATTGGACCAGTCACTGGGGCCAGGGACATAGGCCTGTCCTGATTGGAGTGCCCAGGCCATGTGCTTCACCCCTGCAGCCTGAAGGCGGCACATCTCCAGCTAAAGACAAAGCGCCAGCGGATGACAGTGGGGAATGAGTCCCTCAGAAGTAAATCAGGGCTGCTACCGGGAAGATTAGGGGTGCTGGGAGGCAAAATCATAATAATAGTAATAATAATAATAATAATAATTGTAATACTACAACAACAACAACAACAACAACAATAAGTATTTTCATGGCTTACCAAGTATTTTCGTGTATAGTCTCCTCTTTGACCCGAAAGAGGCGTCAGGTTAGTCGGGACACAGGAGTGACTGAGAGCACGGACGCTGTGGCCGGACGGCACGGGTCCGGTTAGCGCCCTCCTAAGATTTTGACAAGCCATTTAACATCTCTGTGCCCCGGTTCCCACAACTGTGCGATGGGGATAAAGTTCTCTATTTTACATGGGTTCTGGAAGGATTAAATCAGTGGCTATTTGTAGGGCACTTAGTGCCTGATGCACGCTAGTCTCTCTGTCCCCCGTTATTGTTGTTAACCTTTAAAACAGCCCTGCCGGCGGAGTGTCCTCTTCAGTTCGCAGGCGTGAGTGCCGAAGTGCAGAGTCACATGGCCTGTAAATGTGGAGCCAGTCGCACTCAGGTCTCCTGACTTCGTGTCCCCACGCTTGCCTTTGTAGAATCATTAATTGAAGAAGCAGAGAGGAAACCACTCCTACAAGGTAGGCCAGCTATTTGGATGTGCCCAAGTGTACAGAGGGCAGCATTACTTACAATCTCCTACTTGCAAATGGATCTTTATCTAACCATACACAGAGTGCCCCCAGGTATACTGAGGCACTATTGCTGTGAGGGAATTCACACTGGCATTGCTCCACGCTGGTGGGCACAGGCTTGGGACAGTCAGCCATATCTAGGGTTGGCATTCACTCAGGAAATGTTTGCTGATTGTTTAATTGGACCCCGTATTCTTAGCTTTAGAAGACTCTAAGACTTGCGGTTGGGAGGTGGCATGAACCTATGAGCATGATGTGAGCATGTAACTTCTGACGGAGCAAAGCCTGGACCACCTCAGAATGCTGCTTCCAAGGCCTTTAGCCACTTCGATCCAGAAATAAATGCTGTTTTCCTCATTACAAATATTTTCCCACAATGTTAAGAATGTTTTGTGGGGAAGTTATTCAAACGACTTAATGGAGAAGGCTTGCCCTGGAGACTCAGGCTTTGATATGACCCAGACATCAAAGGAAGGTCATGTTGCTTTCTGAAGACAAAGACAATGATTTCTTTGTAAGTACTGTGGGCTCAAGACACTGGAAACTTAAAATCACTGTGGGTAATCTGTGATACACCTCCCCCCCCAAATATGCAGCTCTACACAAAAGG